CTGACCATAATGGATAGCAACGGTGGCACACCACTTGAATCAGGAAGCAAATGGCCAATCCTAGTTGGAGATTTTTCAGATAGTACAAAGATCTGCAAGAAGGTATAAGGAGTATGGGTAGATCTCACACAATTATAGAACACAAAAATTCACATACAAACAGGTTTTAGTAGTTTTTCCTTTGTATATATAACTAAAAAAGATTTTTTTTGACCTAGTTAGAGCCAATGAATTTTCTCATTGGATATGATTAAATCGCGGCTGACTGTATTTAGATATGGTCTTTTAAGACTCTATTCATCAGATGGTGGGTGGAACTTAAAGGTTTACATCTAGGCACGTTAACACTTCACCAATCTTATTAGGGTTAATGCTTGCATTGGTGCTGGTAAGATCGGATAAATGAGGGCAACAAGCCGGCCGGTAGACATAGTTTTAGGTAGTTTAGCAGATAACCAAGTAGGCAAATTTGTATTAAGCAAATTTAAAGTTCTACAAATCAATATCTAATAAACAAGGCGTACGCCAGTCGTGTTAAAAAAAAAAAAAAAAAAAAAAAAAAATATGAAAAATTAAAAGTATGCAATTATTAATTAGTAAAAGTTTAAAAAAATTGCAAAATATTAAGATGAATTGTTTAATGTTTTTAAAAAAACAAAGGTCCATTCATTTGAAGAAAGTAAACTAATCTAAAAAGCAATAAAAAAAAATAATCATATATGATTATAGTTGATATTCTTATAAGGTATTTAAATATTATTTAAGTCAAATATTTGTTTGTTAAATATTTATATATCAAATATTTATTTATTATATAGTTGATTAACTTGCTAAGAGAAGTTTTGAACAAATATTCAATGTTAATTCAATATATAAAAATAACTTGTAAGAGAAGTTATAAGACTGTAACTTATTATAATATAATATCACTCAAAAATTTGTCAAATTAGACTTATTATTTGGAAGGAGAAGCTAAAGAATTAGTAGAAAAACATAAAAAATAAAAGGTTGCTAAAGAATTATTAATATATTTGGAGGAGTATCAAACTGGAAAAAGAGTAATAATAGGTGAGATTAGAAAAAAATTACTAAGGTAAAATTAGTAAAAGATATAAAAATTAGTAAAAAAAAAATAATTGAAAAAAAAAAAAGGATATAAAGTAATAAATTTTAAAGGTCATTTAAAATAAAATCAATTAAGGAAAGTGAAAAAAAATAAAAAAAAAGGAAAAAGAAATAGAAGATAATAAATAATTTAGTTTATATAAGTGATTTTTTGTTATATTCAAATTACAGTATATTATTTTATTATTATATTTTAATAAACTTTTTATTAATTATAATTATAAATAATTGTTGAATTTTATTAATTATTTTTATTTGCTAAATAATAAAATTATTGTTAATATACAGTATATATATTAAAATTCATCAAATTTTTAAACTTAAAATATATTAAATTATGACTAAGTTATATATTAAATAATTGTATTTTATTTATTATTTATTATCAAATGCTATAATGTTATAGTTGAATTATTAATGAATATTTAATAAATATTTATATTTAATTTCATGCCAAGTGGCATCAAATAATATAAATTCAGTTTAAATTTAATTATAAAAATTTAATAATTTGATAATAATTTAATATATTGAATAACTAAATTTTGATTAGTATAATTATAACTTGATAAAATTAATCTTTATACTTTGTATTATATAAAATTTGATTTGATTTAGCTTTAATCAATTCTTTTATATTATTATTATTATCAAAAAAACATATGTATATAATTAATAATACTGTATGATTAATAACTAGCTATTGTTTGCTTTTTTTTTTTTATTTGAATTTTTTAAGTTTATACTTGTCAATTTACTTTGTAATAAGCTTTAATTAATTTATTGTTGTAAAGATTATTAATGTATTGGCAAATTTTTAAAGATTAAATAAAGTTATATATTTAATGCTTGTTGCAAAAATAAATAAAAAATAATAATAACTTACTTACATATTTATTATTTCAAATTTTAATGTAATACTAATTATGATAATTATAATTATTTGTTATTTTTTAGAGATCAAAAGTTTTTTTTAAATCTTAGTTTTTAAAAACTTGATATACAAAAATATAAATAATGTAATAACAATAATATTTATTAAAAAGTTCAAGTATATACTGTGGTTTATTTTTATATTATTAATATTATCAATAGAATTTACAGTATATAATAGTAAAGTAAACATAATTTTTTCATCATTGAGATATTAACAATTCCTATAATTATTTTTACTATTTTTTTTTTATATTACAAAAATCTTTTAAAGAAATAATCAATGTAAAAAACATATGGGCTAAGTCAAATGCATAAAAAGTAATTATAAGTCAAATTGTGTTGTTTGAGAGATGTAGTATGTCTTACTAAATATCAAATTTTTATAAATTAAAAATCGAACAGTAATATTATTTAAAGACACATTATAATAATAGATTTTTTCGTATACTGTATAAATAGATTTATGTAATTTCAAAAAAAAATTTCGATTACGCAATATATGGAATATCTGTGAAAATGATACAATTATCAAAGAAAATATCTAGATTTTACTAGAAGGATGATATTTTGATTGGCTTATTATCATTATGGTTAGTTAGGATCTAACGTCGTTGCAATCCGATTTTGTTACAGAGAATTTATTAAATCCGAGATGAATCCGAGATCAAATAAAATTCAACTTTTGAACAATTATGCTATCAAGAAAATCACAGATTCAATAAGTAGATAATCTTGACGAATGAAAGATTGGTTTGACATTCATACTACTCTTTAATCTACTTAGATATTGTTCCTTCATGCTTTGAATTTAAATTATCAATCCATACTTTATACTTCTTGCATGATGGTATGTTTCATATTTATAATATTCACGTGGATTCACTCGACGACGTGCTCTACATAGGATTGTCAATTTCTCTTGGTCATCGCTCAGATTCAGATAGCATAATGCGCAATGACTTATTATTGCATTGTAACAATTCTTATTGAGTTAGGAACGCTTTCTTCGTGAAACTTTAGTATTGACATATAAATAGGTGATGCATATCAACCTGGAATGGTAAATTTAGGGTGCCCGTGTACGTTTATCATGCCCGGTATGATACAAATCAAGGTTAACGCGTGTAAATTTAAAAAACAAACAAAATAAGTTTTTAAAGTAACATGAATTAGAATTCTCCTAGTAATTCACGAAACAAAAACTCTTTCTAATATACTTTAGTATGGAGTAATTCGTCTTTTCCTTTCTTCATGCAATACCTAAGTAAGATTAGCACGGTGAATTCCAAGTAGTATACAAATTCTCCTGCTAACGAATGAAAACGCAATATTTTCTATTTAATTCACCGAACATAGAAATTAAAGTAGTTAACTGGACTGCTGATATTGAATGACGCATTAATTAGGAAGACAAAAAGGCACAAAACACTTGCCTAATTAGGTTAGGGTAAATCACCTATCTTAGATGAAAATTAGAATATTTTGTCGCGTACGAATAATTAATAAATTAGTTCCATAAAAAGAACGGTCGGTACGCGGATGTCTTGATAGTAGATTCATGCCACGGAAACCAATAGAAAATCAAGTAAATCTTTATCACAAAGAAGATACGAAAACGATTTATGTATGCTATATGGGGAGCATCAAAAAACTTACTTAGAAAAATTCTTTTTTAGAATGTCTTAAAAGAATAGAACATGACATAAACCCTGTAGTGTTCAAAATCCTTTAAAAAGTACGATGCCGTCAATGATATCGCGATTGCAATGTAACCAAGACGATTAAGTCTAAAGTTACATGCATGACTCTCAATTTAAATATATAATCCCGCCTACATGTTTTGCGAATTTGCATTCCACTTACGATTCCTCCTTTAACCGACTTCCCTTTCATTCATTTATTCCTTCCTTCTATTATTTATTTATTAATTATTATCTTCACATTCATTAATTTTAACTCTTAGGTGATTTCTATTACTCTCAGCCCAAACAGGTAATTAAGAAGTTTTCTTAGTCGTATCGAAGTGTTAATATTTTACTTTGTTGTTTCTTTGAATATTTGATATTAAATTCCTTTCACTAAAGATAGCTTCTACTTTTTACCAAACACACCATACATTGGATTATCTGTAGACACGATTCACAACGTAAAAAATACGATCCATTTTTATGATATAATGCATGACAAAAAAAGGCGCACCAGGAACCATGGTGCATTCAATCGAAGAAAATTGAAGGACCTTGTGGATGTAAGTGTAGGCATAGGGGTTGAATTAAAACCACCCACCAAAGCTGCCAACGTAAAGCCATCAGCAAAAAAGAAACCACCAGTTGATATACCAATACCGACAGTAAAAGTTAACATACCGCCGGCAAAAGTTGACATACCACCGGTAAAAGTTAAAATACCACCGGTAAAAGTTAAAATACCACCGGCAAAAGTTAAAATACCACCGGCAAAAGTTAACATACCTCCAGCAAAAGTTAACATACCGCCGGCAAAAGTTAACATAAAACCAAGCCTAAAAACACCAATTGGCACGGGTCTGCCAAAAAAGCAAAAGTTACCAAAACTACCGATTAATACAGACTATCCACTTATCACGAAGCTACCGAAACATTTATCGCTTATCACGAAGCTACCAAAATCACAAATTGGAACAGGCTTACCACTTATCACAAAGTTATCAGGACTGATAACTGACACTAAGTTACCGGTTAATACACAATTCACGAAGCCAACAACTAAAGTGCCAAATCTAATATCAATCAGCTTACCAACTTCTAACGTGCAAACTTCAAAGAAATCAACGAAACAATCCGTACAATCAACATCAGGCACCACACCTACTTCAACATCACCATTATCCAATACCAATACTGTCACCTCACCCACTGTCAGCAGTAATTCAACTAATAATCCTGTTACCTCACCCACTGTCAGCAGTAATTCAAATATCACTCCTGTTACCTCATCCACTGTTGGCAGTAATTCAACCAATAATCCTGTTACCTCACCTACTTTCAGCAATAATCCAAATATCACTCCTGTTACCTCATCCACTGTCGGCAGTAATTCAACCAATAACCCTGTTACCTCACCCACTGTCGGCACTGTCGGCAGTAGTTCAATTACTAATATTGTTATCTCGCCCACACTTTACAATCCTTCCCCAACCACTGATGGCAAAGATTTAATCGTAGCCACATCAAATTCTGATCAAACATCAACAACTTCACCTACTATAACTAATGTTATTGCACTGCCCATTGGAAGTGCCAACTCACCAATGACCGATGGTTATAGAAAGAATGAAGGTGGTCATGAAACTAACACCCATGGAATAGAACCATATTTGCCGTTTCCAACATTATCAACAAACCCTAGATATATAAGCCCTTATGATTCAAGGTCTCCGTATTTTATCCCCGCCATAACAGGAACCATAGTATCCATCATATTAATCATATCGATTATATTTATCGTGATAAAGAAAACAGTATTTGTAAAAGGAAATTATGACAACCGAGATAAACAGAGAAGCTTTAAACGATTAGATGATACAGAGAGTGTACTTAATGGTGGACTGCCAACGACACGAAATAGTCAGTTTGGAACTATTGAAAATTTGAATGGCGTTTCTGTAGATCTGGAATCTTCAATGAACACTGGAAGTGAAGTTGAAATTAAATCAATGAATACAATAGATTGGAATGAATGTATGGAGTAATGTGGTTTATAATTCAATCCATTTTTCCATAAATTTCTTTTTCTAATTTGATAGTGTCGCGACCGTTATATAGTCATTGTCTTGTACATAACTCATATTTAATAATTTTGTGTAGTTAAACCGAATATTAGTTAAGTGTTACATGCAAAACACGCATTTTTTGTTTAATCATTCGCGGTAAAAATTGGTTATTGCAAAATTTGTTTAAATAAAATTTATATAAATATTTTTTCGAGATGCTGTATATACAGTACATATTTAAAAATCAATTAAATTTAATAATAAGAAAAAAATAAATATTTTTTTATCTTTAATATCTGTATTTTTTTTCGTAAACAAATATATCTTCGGTTTTGAAAAAAATTTTATTATTTCCGACTGTATTTTATATGCCCAATAACTTATGCATAAGATTATAAAAAAAAAATTTTTTTTTTTTTTTTTATTAATATTTTATATAATTTTAATGTCAACCTTAAAAAAATAATCAAATCATCAAATATTTATAATATGATGCGATTTTTGAAGATTTTTTTTATAATGCATCGTAATGTACTTAAATTAATAATGGCAGGTCAATAAATTATTTCAATAATGCATAAAGACATTATGCCTATTTTATTTAAATTTAATATTTTCGAATATTATGAAAAATATATTTTTTTTAAAAAAAGTTTTTTTTTTAACAAATTAATTTTATTATTTTTGACGCGTGGTTATGAATTGTGGGCACATTTGGGGTCCACATTTTTGATAATTCCGGCCAGAATTATAAATGCAAAGTGCGTCGTAATACTCATTTTTTACCTTCATTATTTGTTAATTAATTTTTGACTAAAATCATAAAAATTTATTTTAGTTATGCTATTACAATAATATTCTTTAATAGGTTTTTCCTTTTATCCTGAAAAATGTTATAATAATAAATATAAACTATTTATTTTCGCGCGTGCAGTACATATAATTTTATGTGAAAAACAGACGGATTTGTCATATAGTTCAAAGATTGAATGCATAAATGAATTTGCATTTTTTTAATATGATGAAATTCTTTGAATATACGGTTGGTAAACAATGCAATATTAATAATTAAATCTCTATTTGCTATTTATTTTACTGATTGTTATTTTTA